TGACCTCAATACTCTCATTTAGTCAGGAATTTTTATCAAAGTTGAATAGTATCTAGTAACAGAATTTAGGATGAATATTTAGTCCTGTCTGTGAATCGTTAGATGGATATGTTTATCTGTCAGTGTTGACATTCACACTGCGATTCAAGTTCAGTACTTTTTATTTCAAGCATCAGAAACAGAAAATACAAACCTTAATAAATAAAATTTATACCAATTACACAAGCTAGTGGCTATCTGAACTCATGACCTCATCATATACCTTGTCAGCATTTGGAGCGAGAGGTAATGAGTTCAAGTACCCAAAGTGAACATCAGCATTGGTCAGTCAGTCAGCTACAAAGCAGGACCAGGAACATATATGCATCGATCTAAGTTGCCATACCTCATTTTTACAACAAGATGAACACCAAATTTATAGAAGTAGTTAATTCAGTGGTGGTAATATATAAGAGAAAGATTGCAATAAGGATATAGTACAAGAAGAAGGAATTAGTTCGTAGAAAGCAAAATATAAAGTAATTTTAATCTCATGGTTTAAGGGAAGGCAAGGAGTGTATATATTTACGCTATTGTGATCGATTCCGAGCCATATCATGCAGAGTCTCCAACCATTGGTTACCATAGTCAAGCGGATCCCATCGTAACCAATCAGCATTGGAATGTAGGTTGATCCAACTGACAAGTTATGGATAGGACTCTAGGATTCTAGTATTAGCCACTACCCAACTTCAATAAAAAAATTCATCTATTGATAAGTAATTCATTTCATAAAATTCCACTTATGTTAATAACTTTCAAAATAACTATAACTAACAACTTAGTTGATGTGAAATGAATTTGATTTAACTACCATGAACTGATTAAAGTTCGAAATATAAATCTTGTGGATGATAATTGAGTGATCCAATAATAGTACCCTCATTGATTATTCTGGTATCTAGGAATCATATTCTTTGTGCAATTATTGTTAATAAGTATTGGTTAGGAATACTGAATTCAAACAAAACAACTTTCCATTTCTCTTTGGTTTCAATAATTCTAAAAACCTAATATTATTCAGTCATTTAAACCCATAATCCTACTGCATTTATTCCATTTCAAGGTGCATTTAAAAAGTTTCATATAGGCATTAATATAAATTTGTTCGGTGTTGTTTGTTTGAATCTTCCCATTGATGTTTAAGACTACAATTGATCAGTCTCTTATTGGCATATATGTATCTTGTGTGGATTCCCCCGATATTAGCTTAAATCACAAGCATTATAAGCCAAGATGAATAGTGACTGGCAGTGGAATCCAGTTTGCGAGTTTTGTCCTATTTAGAACTGTTCAGCTGGATGTATCTGAATCCCAGAGTTGATGTTTACTCCGAGACTCGAATCTATCACTGTTAGGCTTTTTTTTCTAAGTTATGTGACTTTACAAGAACAGTTTTGATGAGAAACACGCACAAAGTAATTCATTTTACTAGCGATAAATAATCACTAATGCTTACCACAGTTACACAAGTTCAACCAGTATATACATATGAATAGAACTAACTAGAGTCAATGAGAGAGAAGATTCATGATGTAATCAACTATATGGAATATGTGTACTTTGTTGTCAACATAATGGACACAATGTTAGAAAAACTGATAATAAATTGAATTAGATTTATTCATGTTTCACATAATATTCTATTTGTCGAATTACATCTTATTCACAAAATCAATTTGCATTTTTGATAGATTTGAAAAACACACACAAGGTTATTGTTTTCGCTATTCAAAAAGCATATCGACTGAACGAGTACTTTATGAAAAATAGACTAATATTATTTATTCAGTTATTTGTAGTCGATTTCCTAACTAAATATCAATAAGCATGTGTTCTGATATTTGGTGATTACCGGTAGTTGACAAGAAACTATGAACTTGAGTCTTGTGTTGGGTGGTCCTCGTCAGTAAGACGATTTGATTAGGATGAGTTCAACTTTAAACTCATTTTCACTTATTGGATTAACATCAAGCATACGGCAGGTCAGTCACCACCCAAATAGCTAAGTGGTACCATCTTAGACTACATAACCAGATGACACGAGTTTGAGTCCTAAAAGAAACACCAATTACCCTAAGGTATCGACTATGTATGATTGACGAGTGTCAGTTACCACAAAACTCAAGATCTTACTTACCTACCCACCATTTCCAACTAACTAACTTCGAAATACACTCAATATAATAATAATCATCTGCTCACTAGTGACTGACTTCGAGGGCATTTCCTGGAGTTCTAGTGAGAAGCCGTTACCAGTGGAGTTCAACCAGGTCTGTTGTGAGATATCAACTCACTGAAGACAATGGTGTACGGTGGCGCAACTTCCTGGATTAGTTGAAGTTAGACATTAACACAGTTGGATGCCAGCTCAGTGGTCTAATGTTTAAGCGCTCGCGCGCGAGACTGATAGGTCCTGGGTTCGAACGTCGAGGGGGTGGAATCGTGGATGCGCACTGCTGAGGAGTCCCACACTAGAACGAAACGGTCGTCCAGTGCTTCCAGGTTTTCCGTGGTGATCTAGCTTCAATTGACTCATGATTTCAACTATTGAAACTTCTAAAAAAAAGTCTCCACAAAACCCCTTCTAATAATATTTTAACGTCATTAAGACCACAGGCATCATTGCAACGTGATCAATAGAATTCGATTGACACTGAGGACTAGACAAACATGAAATTGGTCACTACTCAGTAATCAGTTAAGACATACAATCATGTATTGATTATTGGCTAACTTCAAGATGAATTTTCCTATGTTTCAATAAGAATCCATAACCTCTGAAACTAACCAGGTTGGATTTGGAATATTAGGTACTAGGTTTGAGTCACAGAAAGAATATCAATAATGGTATTGAAGTTCATTTATCTCTCTTTGTTTTGATATTATCTTAGAAATAAAAATGAGTAATCCCGTACACTTTAAAGCAAACATAAAAATAAGCAAAACATGATTAAAGTTCTGTCAGAAGACATACTCAAAAGTTGACCGGATCATTTGAGAGAACCTCATTCCCAGAATTAACACAAGTCTTCATTATGATTCTATAAATAAACATCAGTTAATATCTAACTCCTAGTAAATTAGAAGTCAACATTTTGTCAAAAACAGATTCAATTTCAATTGATAAATATGTAGTCTGTTCAATGAATACCAAAACCAAGTTTATAAAAACTTCCCTGAAGTTTCTTGAGATCTAAGCTTTTCAGCTCTCATGTTGATGTTTCAAATTTTGCAAACAACATATGTTGAAACAATATTTTTCCTAAATTACTTTATTCGTGATCATCTGAACAATGAATCGACTGTCAAAAAAAAAAAAATTGCACACTTTCTATGTTTTTACCAATAAACGTGATTCAAAGTCTTTCAACCGATTACGCTATCGTTGCACTGAAATTATTGATCCTCTTGAGAAACTACCATCTTTCATGTGATATCTTCATAAACATAAATTTCTTGATGACTTTACTCAATTTCAACCAAATAAAAAGATTAATTTCTTAGTTCCCGTATCCATTGAATGAAACATTTACCAGTAAGCACAGAGTTTCAATAGACGAACAAGCACCAATTTTCCACGGTTATGATAACTTTTTTATAAACTAAACTTCCTTACAAAACATCTAGCTGTAATTCAATTCAATACACTTTTGTAATCCCTATAATTTTTTCAGACATTAACACTCGGTTCGTACTGCATAATTTGTAAAACCGAAAAAATATTCTAAGAACGATCAATAACACACTGTGTCACGCACTCACTCAGTCATTCACTCTCCATCCATTCAGTTGCTCGCTTACTGTAAAATACATTGATTAACAAAAGCCAAAATTGTCAGGGCATTTTTTGTAAGAACGAAGAAAAATTATACAATCTCTTTTCTCCTTCCATCACCATCAACTTTTGTCAAGTTGTAAAAATTAAATTCATTTCTATTTTTTTGCTAATCATCAAGAGTAAAAACAAAAACAAAACAAAACATGTAACCAATGGAAACTATTTAATTGAGTAGATATTTTAAAGAAAACATATGGTTTTATGTATAGAAAGCCAAATATATAATGTGTATATCAAGTAATAACAATATTAATTATAGTGATACTCATCGTAATAATAATGATGTTAATGACGTTAACAGGTAATAGTGATAAACACTTTCTGGTTGCTATAGTTTCTCATTTACTTTTATCATATATAATATGGCCACGTGCACACGCACACGTACATTGATATATCCGTTAACTTGCTCCCTATTCCTACTAGTGTATCACTTATACTTTGTTTTATCATTCTTTTACTCTGTAATTTTCTTTTAGATAATAGTGAATTTTTTCTAAAATATTCATAACCTCGCCCCTCTCTCTCTCTCTCTGTGTGTGTGTGTTTCCCTCCTTCTCTTTCTCCCACAATTTATTCGTGACTTAGTTTTTATTATTTCCTGTAGATATTGGATGATAAGGTGTTTGCGTACATTATGTAATGATAATGACGATAATCATAACACTGCTTTTTTCCCTGAATACAAGTCAATAATTGTTCCCAATTTTTTCCTCTATCAACAAAAAAAAATTATTCACTATGCAACCAACATTAATTACAAAAATGAAATTCTTGAATGTATACTCTTAAAAAGTTGCTAACATCCCAACACTTCATGGTTGATTAATAAATTTATTGATTTCTTTTACAAAAAAATTTCAATAAAACGTAATATCAATTTATCTATCTACTTAATAGCATATGTAATAATATACTTACCTTACTTATCTGGCTTATATGATAATGGTGGAGGTGATGTCAGTGAGGATGAAGAACAATCTTAGGTTGGGAGTGTTTAGGAATCAAATTGAAAAATATGACTGATATGTTTATGATTTATTCCCTCATTTATTTTATTTTTTAAAATACTAGGGAGAATAAGTGGAAGGGGAAGAAAAGTGAAGGTGTTTAAAGGAAATTAAATAGTAGTAGTAGTAGTAGTAGTAGTAGTAGTAGTAGTAGTAGTAGTAGTAGTAGTAGTAGTAGTAGTAGTAGTAGTAGTAGTAGTAGTAGTAGTAGTAGTAGTAGTAGTAGTAGTAGTAGTAGTAGTAGTAGTAGTAGTAGTAGTAGTAGTAGTAGTAGTAGTAGTAGTAGTAGTAGTAGTAGTAGTAGTAGTAGTAGTAGTAGTAGTAGTAGTAGTAGTAGTAGTAGTAGTAGTAGTAGTAGTAGTAGTAGTAGTAGTAGTAGTAGTAGTAGTAGTAGTAGTAGTAGTAGTAGTAGTAGTAGTAGTAGTAGTAGTAGTAGTAGTAGTAGTAGTAGTAGTAGTAGTAGTAGTAGTAGTAGTAGTAGTAGTAGTAGTAGTAGTAGTAGTAGTAGTAGTAGTAGTAGTAGTAGTAGTAGTAGTAGTAGTAGTAGTAGTAGTAGTAGTAGTAGTAGTAGTAGTAGTAGTAGTAGTAGTAGTAGTAGTAGTAGTAGTAGTAGTAGTAGTAGTAGTAGTAGTAGTAGTAGTAGTAGTAGTAGTAGTAGTAGTAGTAGTAGTAGTAGTAGTAGTGGCTTTTAACTTATATCTTTAAAATTTAAAAAATGTTTAGTACCACCACACAGTGAATGTGACAAGTTGTGTAAACTAAATGCCTAGAAAAAGTTGCTTCTTGTTCAGATTTCGCCTAAAATATTGATCAATTAATGAGCATATGTGATGTGATTACGAGCATCGTAAAAAGTGTTGATGTAACAAAAAGTATTCTCGCACTTTAATCTCAAGTCCTAACGCTTGTTCTTAATCCCAACTACTAATACTAAACTTTTTTTATTTTTGTTCTAATAACTAAATTATCATATAAAAGTCTATTGTTTATGTTAAAACTATTTATCTACTGTAATTTGATTACTTTTATTACAAATTGCTGTATAACTACACTGTGTTTCTGATTGGCCGACGAATCGCTCAATGTGGTCAGTATAGTATCGTTTTATTAATGGCAACAGTGATAATAAAAATCATCATAATAAATCATACGATCAGCCGAAGTTGGACCAGGCAAAATAACAAATATTACAATCACGCCTTCCGTGTACTAGTATAACCTGGTACACGACTGAGATCTTCAAATGAATTAACCTCATCCTCATATCAAAGAAGTAGGTAATTTGAAAATTAACGTTTAAATTGTTTTCAGTCTAATGATCTAGTGTAATTTAAAAAGAGTTAACTAATATGTGTATATATTAGATCAAGTTTTGTAGAGATTATTTTTATGTTTTGGGGATAATTTCCACGGATTTATCATAGATGGAGTGCAGTTGGAAAACAAAGAGCTTTAGACATTTATTTCATCTTCGTAAGGGATTCTTTGGCAGTGTATACCTACGACTCAGGTCATCACTGACATATTTCTAGATGAGTGTGTAGTGACTTACTTTTATCAAGAGAACGCGATTGGTTTAATGGAAACAATTATTATTATAACCAATTGTACCAGTGATTGTTTTACCGTACTTGTTTGTTTGACCGTACAAAAGACATTCATTATTCCGTTGATTGTGACCTTTCACGCATTCGGTTACGCTCAGTAACCACACTTGTATCCCTTTGGCACGATCTCGGTATTCTTTCGATATCACGAGATCGCCAACAAATACATTTCGACTACAACCATCAACTGCTTTCTGATATTTGGCCTACGGGGGGTCTTGTCGGGTAACTGGCACGTAGTATACCCGTATTGGTGATCATAGCCAACTGCGACTAAACGCCACACAACAAGTGCATGGACTTCTAGTGAGAAGTTGTAACTAGTGGAGTCCAGATATATTTGGAGTGAAACAGTAGTCACCAGTATTAATGAATGTTTATCACACTTTATCGTAAGTTGATTGAATTTGAGAGCGTGTCCTGTTAAACATTAACCCAGTAACTCTAATGCTTAAGTATTTATGTCGAGAAGTAAAAGTCCTCTGTTCGGTGTTTGGGGAGGTCACAGATAAAATTTTCTAATCTTCTTTAGCATTTCATGGCATTCCAATTTAAATCAAGCCATGATGGATATTTGACAATTATGTATTCCTAATCATTTTTCTGTCTACTCACTCGTATATCTGTGCATATCCAAATCAGATGTCGTGGATTGTGATTAGAGTATTGTACCACTATTCACCTGGTTGGTTTATGACCATATGGACTAAATATTTAATTTAGTTGGTTGACTATTCATGAATTTCAAAGTCATAGAATCATTTTTAAATATTAGTGTATCAAATAAGCATACAATTAAGATGTGCTAAATCGGTATGATATAAATACATAGTACTCTTTTATTTTCAGTAATATGTATTTCAGCTTTATTTGATCGCTTCCAAATGACGGCAGGATGCGAATAACACCAGGTCTTGCACACAGAAAATAATAATTTAATTTATTATATTTTTTTTAGCTTAGAAGAATGAAACTGATTATTCTCCGTTGGCAATATGAACAGAACATCCATATGCCTGGATTCCTCAAATAGTCAATATTAAAGTCATACAGACATTGTGTAAATGTATTTCTGTATCAAGTTTTCCTAAGAATATTGACTACAAAAGACTGAGAGGGCCTTATAAACTCAGTCATAAATTTCAACAACCATAAGTTAATAACCTTAAAAACAAAAAAAACATTATATCTTATTAGTTGAGCAAGTAAGTACCCAATATGGCTCTATGACCATAATAAATGACTCTTTGATATTCCAAGTGCTCAGTACTAAACCAATTTTCCAGTGGAAACATCAGTGATGACGTAGACTCATTCTCTTGACCAGTCTCAAGTGGAGTAAAACTTCCTCAATAAGGATGCCCGTAATCCAAGGGCAACAGCATATCAGCAATTCTGAGGTTCAGAAATGTGTGTTTGAGCTCAGGGACAATAATTGAATTGGTATTACCATCTCAAAACACCAATTTTAGTTTCTTGAATATGGTTTATAAGTTCTATCCCAGTGACTTACAGTTCGTGCACTATGTTCCAATGCTATGATGAGTTGGAAAAAGAGCATAAACGGTCAGTGATATAAGAGTAAGCTGTACAGTAATGACATACATCTGTCTATACCAATATAACTCAATGATATGAGACATACTCTCATCCCTTCTCTATTTTTTCACGTTTTCATTTTCATATCTCTGTAGCCTACATTTTTATTTCAATATCCACTTGTACCAGTATGTAGGTGTATTAAACAAATAAACAAAATCTTCATTAAGTTCCCCTAATCACCTTTTACAGGCTGTCATATACAGACGAAAATGTTTAACAAATTATGTAACTTCTTAATCAATAATTAAACTATGATATAAAAATTCTTGCTATACAGCAAGAACATTATTTTCTTGAGAAAAGAAAAGAAACAATTATACAAACTTATTGGACTACATAATTTGGTTTCCAATGTTCAATGTGATGACAAAGAACAGCCGCAAAATTGAAATTATTATTATTAAATTCACTTGGTATTGTTTACTTGAATTTTCCCATTAATTTTTAGGACTGCAGTTGATCAATCTCTTATTGGAGGTACATCCAGTTGACGAGCCCCAAATAGGACGAAACGCACGTCCTGGATCCCACTGCTAGCCACTATCCATCTTTGCATATAATACTTGTGAATTAAGGCCATGTCGAGGCAATTCAAACAGGATGCACATATGCCAATAAGAGACTGATCAATTGCAGTCCTAAACATCAATGGGAATATTCAAGTAAACAATACTAAATGAATTTAGAATTCACCCCATTGCATAATAAAGTGGATATTAGGACTCAGTAGCTAAGTAGATAATGCGATGGAGTTAGAAGCGAACGGTACTGAGTTCGAGTCCCATAGTGGACATCAACTCTTAGATGCAGGTACATCAAGCTGATGAGTCCCGAATAGGACGAAACGTGCATCCTGGATTCCACTGCTAGCCACTATTCATCTTTGCTTAGAATACATATCAATTAAGGCAATATCGAGATAATACTACAGTATGCACATACGCCAATAAGAGACTGATCAATTGTAGTCCTAAACATCAATGGGAATATTCAAATAAACAATACCAAATGAATTTAGCATAATTCTCTAAAGATTTGTTCTAAACGTTCCATCATAATTATTCACCTGAATTTAACACATCTCAATACTGACTGAAGTCAGTCTTATAGACCGTTGTATTCTTATTTAACGATTTAAAATTTCTGTACAATTCCTGAAAATGAAAACTTCCAAGTACCATTTTGTTGTGTCATCTTAATAGAGAGTCACTTTCATCATTCAGAATAGTTTCAAACTAGTATATAAACAAGCTATGATAAAGTGAATTTTGATTCTCTCCGAGTTTTTCCATTTGGTATTAATTTGTCATAAAACTATCAAAATATTATCATCTTTAAATGTAATTTTTGTAAAGATAAATAATGGTAAGTATCTTTGGATAGAAATAAAACAAATATTGAAGATTCACTTGTCTCAACGACAATTAATTGTAAATAAAGCATCGATTCATCCTAATAATGAATTGGATTTCGAGGGGGCGGGCGTTTTTTGCCACCAATAAACTTATTATCATCTACGCATAATTAATCGTTTATAAACTACATGGATTGAACATGATTCATTATTAGTATTAGTATTATTATTATTATTGTAAAAGTCAATTGCATCACGAACCGACATTGACTGAAGAATTGCATTGATAACTGAAGATCAATGAACAATTTCATCACCCTAACTTAGAGTTGTTTAATAATGTATATTCACAAATTTCAGATCTACAGAACAATAGTGGTGGCTCCCGATCACTTTGTCAACTAACTTTGTGGCATTACTAGCGACTAGACAGAAGAATTATCCCCTATAGGTCTACACTCTCCTATTCAACTCTGTCAAACTTATCCGAAAACTGGATTTTGATTAAATCAGATATTGTAGCAGTTAGCACAGTTACATGCCTACATCATTCATCCTGACTTATGGACAGATTACTATTCTAATCTTCCCATTCATTTTGTTGTCATTTACTCATGAGACTTGGATTGGATGATAATATGTATGTATCTATATTTTGGCTTGCTTTATATACCTATAAAATATTGAGTCATATTTTGATCAAATTGACTAGACACATTCAACCTGTCTAGTTCTCATCCTCCTATCTCTTTGATTGAATAAGAGCCTGAAATAAATCCTAAATTAATTTGTATTTGACTTTTTATTACCGTTGTCGCCCAAACGAGGTTAGCCTAAGTAGAATATATACGAAATCAAATGGAGAATTTATGTTGATGGATCATTCATCGTTTGTTTCTTCATCCTTCCTAGTGCAGGTAATACGTCGTTATAATACTTTATGAAATCAGGAAAGATGTCATTGTGATAATAACCACACTTCATCGTAGATTGATTAACGTTGAAAAACAATAATAACGGATATCAACTAACTAAATGATACCGTTATTGTCACAAAAACTGAATGCTCTTGGTTTGATCCCGAGTACAGTCGTTAAAACGTGTTGTTCTCTGGTTTCCCACAGTTATATAATTTA